TTAGAATAATAAAATCTTAAGTTTTTGTGCAAAAATTATTTTAGTGACTTGTTTTAAAAATATTAAAACACTTTTTGCAAGGGTTTTGTGAGGGGAAAAAAATCGACCGTTTTTGACTTTGTTTATTTAATATATTTAACATGTGTACAAAATCACGTGGCATATCAAGAGCCAAAAATACATTATTTTGTGCATTTTTAAGGCACACATAATAGCAAAAACCAAAAATACATACAATGTATTTTACCAGATTTTACACATGGTACAGTTTATTCAGCTGATTGTTTCAAAGCATACAGAGATAAACTAATGCTCCAAATACTTTTTTTCATTCCTTTCATCAAGTTTAAAAGCCTTTTCTTTACTGTGCATAATCAACCTGTCTGCAGAGATTTTAGCAACTGTGCAGTTGTAAACAGCAGCTATGATCCAGTGAGAGAGCACTTCAGGACCCCAGAGATTTTTGCATAATAAGGAGAGTTAATTAGAGATCAGTTCAAGGATCCTCTGCAGCTATCGGCTCCACAAAGACAAGGAATCTTTGTGTCTTCAATGGGAAACTTGTAGTCATACGTAATTTCTTCATTGACGCTAATCGGCTGCCTGGAGTAAATCACGATCTTCTTCTGAGACTCCACTGTGATGATCTTTGCATAACAGTTAGGCTGTAAAGATAACAAGACATCCAAAAAAATAATATTTTAATTGTCAATGCAATATAAAGGTATTTAATAATCACTTGTTGCATTTAGCACCCGCTCTGTACCCACATTACAGCTGTGGTTGATAAACCTGGCTAAGTTTCCACATTTGGTAGCATCAATGATGGCGTCCTGGTCAACGCGGAACAAATAGCTGCTTCCGATGCCTTCCTCCTCGTATCTCTGCTCCCTCATGTCTGCAATGACCTACACACAAAGAGTGTGACGATACACTGCTGCACTTACACCACTGGAAACTACCAAGAACAACCACAGGGTCCCTGAGGAACTTCTCAGAAAAAATAAAAAACATTCAGTGGAAATGATTTGTCAATAAACACATCTGTCAGATGAATTTATCTGATTGTTTTTACCTGTCTGGTGAGCTGCCCCACATATTCAATCACCATCTCATCTGCTGCTATGGGCTCCATGGCGAACAGGCCCCACTCATGGATTAAACTCCGACTGAAACGAATCCTCTTCTTTCGAAACTAACAGAACATGAAAGGATTTAGTCTGCAGCTCCACACGCCACCAATGTTTTGGTTACATTTTACTGCCGTGTGGAGAGCAAATATCTACATCACCTTCTGATGAACCACAGTAATAAAAGCTAATTTTATGCATGGCTAATTAATACATGCAAATTTTTATTAACCATAAATACAGAATGAAAGATACATTTTCTGCAGCTTTCTGTAACACTCAGTAATTCTAATTATAGTCAGATGTTGTTGTTTTTTCTAAAAAAGACTTGTAACAAACTCATTCAGTAATATGATTATTTGTTAATTGTTGTGGATAAAACTGTCTCAGGATGACTTAGCCTAAAAACATATGCAAAGAAAAGTTGGGTTCTTCAGCTGATTCTGCTCACAACAGAAAAACAGGACTTAAACAAAAACGTAATGTTCGGAGCTCATCAATTTTACATTTCTAATTCAGTCTTCTACTACTTTAAAGACAAGTGATTTCATGGTCTTAATTCCTCTTTTCCATCAGTTAATCAGTTGCTTACCTTCAGCTGGTTGAACTTAACCAGGTCGCTATAGCAGCTGAAAGAGGACAGCAGGCGGCGCTGTTCAGACCTGAAGTCGGATCCAGATCTCAGTGAAGTGGGCTGCTGGACGGGGATGCATAAACCCTGTGAAGGATCACCTTGACCTTTAATAAAACAGGCTCTGCATGAAGATAATGCATTTTATCATCCTCTCCTCCCCACCTGATCCAGTGCAGAGTGAAGGTCAGCAGGAGGCTTGGTGTCCAGGAGATATTTTATCTTGTCCTTCCTGCTGATTCTGTAGAAACCTTCACTGCGAGCGCAGCCCGTCCTGTGGACCGGCTGCCCCTGGCTTTCCTCACCGCTCTCCGTCGGGACCTTAGTCAGTAAGCAGGAGTTAAGAAAAGGAAGCAAAGATTGTGACACAATCATGAGAACACAAGAAAATACCAACCATATCAGACAATCATTTTATGCAACATTGTACAGAGTATTTTTAGGCATTTTCACAATTTATAAAATTGTTAAAAAAAAAAAAACGTTTATATGTATACAGTGGCTTCAAGAGGTATTATATTCCTTGAACATTTTAATTTTTGACACTGCTTTCTAGATATTAATTGTATTGTATATGAAATTCATGGGAATAATACAAATTAGTGAACAATTGTGAAATGGAAAGCAAAAGAATAATGGCTACCAATATTTTTTGGGGGAAAAACACTTTTGTGACACTTCTGACACTTTGTGCTTGAAGCTGGAAACAATTTGAAAAAAATCCAAGCACGGCACACATATTTTACAAAATCATGTATCTTTTAAGCATTTCTACAGTTAAATGGCATTTAAACACATTTCTTTTAAATGAATATTTGAATTAACATACACTGTTCAAAAAAATAAAGGGAACACTCAAATAACACATCCTAGATCTGAATGAATGAAATATTCTCATTGAATACTTTGTTCTGTACAAAGTTGAATGTGCTGACAACAAAATCACACAAAAATCATCAATGGAAATCAAATTTATTAACCAATGGAGGCCTGGATTTGGAGCCACACACAAAATTAAAGTGAAATGTTCCCTTTATTTTTTTGAGCAGTATATTTAATCTCTATATTGATCCAGCACTATGGAGAACAAAAAGGATATGAGGATGAGGAATCCAGAAAGTGTCACTGAGCCACCCAGCACTGTTATCCTGCTCCTGCAGCCTTTCATAGGTACTCTGTAGATGTCTGGCATCCTCTTCGTCCAAACCGTCCCTACAGATGTTATGCAGGATATTATACTCCTCACACTGTGAACGTCTCCTCAGGCGATGATCCTGACACCACCAATTTATTCCCTTAAACAATCTTTGACGAAGGCGGGCCCTCTTTCTCCGCCTCAGCCTCCTCAACAGTTTTTGCCTCGATGAGGGTTTGACGTCATTATAAAGCCCCGGCATATTCTCCAGTCCCTGCAAGGGTTTTGTTCTCACACCTGAGCCCATGCGTACACAGTTTCCATCGGCAGAGTCAAACGAAGATTCAGAAAGACTGGATGGAGAGGATATAGGGAGGGGAGAAACACGAAGAAGGCTGTCACATAACAAAGGAAGAGACATCTGTGTCTTCCTCCTGTGGACGATGTCTCTTCTAGGTAAGAAGATGTCCCTTCCAGGAGTTTTTGGGGGAGTGATATACGGATTGCTCGACAGTGGTAGAACGTCTGGAGGGCTGCAGAGAGGTGAAAAAACTGTGTTTCCCTCGAAAGTTCCTGTCGTTTGACCAATTGTTGACATACTGCTGTAAGTCCATCCACCGCTTTCCTCCCTCCCAGGAGTTTTAGGCTTCTCCTCGTACGATGGGTAGGAGGCAGGTGGGAAGTGGGAAGAAGCTAGAAGAACATCACTACTTTCTGGGGAGAGAGACATGACTTCACTGGCTTCATCCGAGTCCAAATCGATCAGTTTGGCAGCGATCCCCTTGCCTGGTGTGGGTGGCCTCTCCACTTCATCCAGAGGTGCTGGAGACGCCGGTTTGCTTTTGATCAGATTGTCAGGGTCACTGTCCACCAAGCTGCCAGTGGGAGTGAGAGGCCTCAGGTCATCTATGCCCTCCACAGACTCTGGAGTCCAGGCACGGCATCTCGATTGCACACAGAGACCTGGCTCTGCTGATTAACGAAACAAGAAAACAGATTTACTTATGTTCAATCGAGAAAATTCTGGTTTGAGAAAAAAATGAATCTTGGGGAAAATTACTACAACTTTAGAAGGAAAATACAAAAGACTCTGAAACAATTACCTTCCAGTCCAATAGGTGAAATGAGCTCTGAGTCTGAATGGTCACAGTGCTGCAGCTCCACCATGGAGTCCATATCGCTGCTCCCTTGGAGGCCGGCTGTACAGTTCTGCTCCGTCTGATCCCTACGCCGTGACTCTAACCAGTCCTCCAAGTCCAGCTCCAGCTGTGCTCCAGGTGTTAGAGGAGCAGTGGGAGTCGCAATGAGCTCCAGCTCCACCGACTCTTCATCAGAAGATATCACAATGCATTTGTCATCACTCCTGTCATCCTCCTCCTCATCCTCCTCCGTGTCATCATGTTGTGAACTGAGGTCGGAAGACGAGTCATCGAAGCTCTCTGAGGACTCCGACGAGTAATCGCTTTCTTCCGAGGCGCTGCTCTCTGATAATCTCTCTGCAGATTAAGATGAAATTATTGACTAATATGTGATAAGTTAGATATTTTTTGTGTTGCAGCTTTTAACAAACCTCTTCCAAGGCGTCGTCCATCGGTACTAGCCCGGCAGACAACAGCATCTTCATCTTCCAACCTTTTCTGTGCTGATGTCCTTTCTTCACATCGCTGACCAACTTCATCTCCATCATCTCTGTCAGACTAATTAAAGGATGTCTTATTTGCCACGGTTTTATCAAATTCAAACTTAGCAGTTTAAGAAATCGATGTGAAAACACAAAATCTTAGAAAGTATATCTGTCTAGTTTCAAGCGCAAATATCTTAGTAAACTTGAAATAAGGAAAAACTAATTTACAAGAAACTTTTCAACAAGATATAGGAGCTT